GCGGAAAGACGCTCTGGGGGAGAACCAGTCCCGGCCTCGGCCGCGCGGGCAGGGAGGGGCCAAGGCAGGGGCCCGGAGCAACCGCGGCCTGAGTCTGTCCCCGTGCTGCTGACCCCCTCCCTGCATGACCACGGCCTGCCTGTTGAATACCTACTCACCTTTCATGAACCAACTCAAAGGCCATCTCCTCTGTGAAGCCTTCCCAGATTCCCGCCTCAGAGGCACCGCACCCATCACACCCCTGCAAGGTCGAGCCCTTGGCAGGGGCTCTTGGGCCCCTGCTAGGGGAGGTCAAGGCAGGGGTTGTGAGCAGAGAAGTCTCTGGTTTTACACCGCTCTGGTTTCAAGCATGCATCTCCACTTGCTAGCGGTGTAGCTTGGAGGGGGTTACTTAACTTCTCCTTGCCTCGGTTTACCCATCTGCAAGATGGGGATAAGAATAGTGCTTAGCCCCTAGAGTTATTATGAAAATTAAATGTTTTGTTTGTTGGTTGGTTGGTGGCTGGCTGGTACAGGGTAAATGTCTTTTTAAAGAATAAAATGGGTGTTGTGACACCAAAATCAATGATTCGGATCCTCATACCCACCAGCCACCAAAAAAATTTAAAAAATTAAAGAGAGTTATTAAATGTCAAGTGCTTAGACTAGTACAGGCGCGCGGTAAATATTTAACAAAACCTAGCTCTCAGTAGCAATTTTTTTACCTCTCCACTGGCCCTAAGTCCCAGGCACCCCACGCTGTATCTAATCCAATTATAACCCCTCAACCCCTGGCCCAATCCTTGTCAGTCATGTAATGTAGAGAAACAAGGCAGATATTTTTAAAAGTTATTAAATGTCAAGTGCTTAGACTAGTACAGGCGCGCGGTAAATATTTAACAAAACCTAGCTCTCAGTAGCAATTTTTTTACCTCTCCACTGGCCCTAAGTCCCAGGCACCCCACGCTGTATCTAATCCAATTATAACCCCTCAACCCCTGGCCCAATCCTTGTCAGTCATGTAATGTAGAGAAACAAGGCAGATATTTTTAAAACTTTAAAAACTTCCCCTTAATCTCCTCCATTACCCGCTCCTTGAGGTAACCAATGTTACCAGTGCAGTATTTACCCTTCACTCTCTTCTCCATAATCATGCATACATATACATATATGGGGTTTGGGGTTTTGGGGGTTTGTCTTTGTGGGGTTTTTTTTCCATTTTTTACAAAAATGGGATCATTCTAAAGAAAGTATTCTGCACCTTTTCTCTGATTTAACATAACAGACATCTCTCCAAGTGAACAGGTACAGACATAACTCATTACTTAAATAGTTGTGAGTAATGTTCTATAGTTTGGGTGTACAAGAATTTATTCCCCAATGTTGAGGTTGTTTTTAGTTTTGTTTCACTTTGTCACTATCAACGATGCTGCAATAAGTATCCTTGTATGAAGAGCTTCACATTCTAACGCTTTCATTTCTACAGGCTAGATTCCCAAAAGTGAGATTGTTGGGTCAAAGAATGAATGTTTTTAATGTACTTGGTTGAATCAACTGAAACTGTTGATATTCAACCACTTTGACCTAAAGAAATAGCAATAAGGTTAAATCTAATATATCGCCAGATTGCTTTCCAAAAATATTGTAGCAGTATACATTTCTACCAGCAGTGTATGACAGTTCCTGTTACTTAAAGCCCACACCAGGACTGATGTTATTGCTGCTTTTACTTTTTGCCAATCTGATGAGTGCAAATGAGCTTATACACCCCACCCCTCAAGGGCTGAGACCTCACTTTATTCAATTTGTACTCTTGCACCTACGTGTATCATTTATATTTTTTTCTTGAGAGTAACAAGACTCATATTGGCTTACAAAAGAAGGCAGATTTACTGGCTCATGTGACTGAAAACCCAGAAGACTTGTCTTCAGGGTTGGTCTGAATTAAGACCTGTATATTTCATCCTTACACACTGCTTTTCATGGCATCAGAATAATCCTTAAGGCTTGCTTCCCTCATGGTGCCAAAAAGGCTGCAGCAGCTTTACTACCCTAAATAAGAGAAAAAGGAGAAAAATATCCATGTCCCAGAAATCCTAGCAAAAGTCTGCCAACTCTCTCTGATTGGACTATCTCTAAACTAATCTCTGGCTAATTAAAGGCTGAGGAGTCTATGCCTGGGTCACCTAAACCAATCATGTGTCATTGGGGATACGATTCCTCTTTTCTCCTTGGCAGGCTTTCAATTAACAAGGCACTGAGTGAAAGATTTAGACCTCCGAGAGACAGGCTTCTTAGTTTTCTACATTCAATAGCAGTAAGTAATAATCAGATGTTAGCTGTACAGTATCGTCAGTTTCGCAGTAAATGTTGTTTGTTAACTTCAAAAGCTTTTCAACAAAAGAGCTGAAAGAAATCTGGGTGTCTCTGAAAGAGAGTATATCAGTCTGCTAGGGCTGCCATAACATAATACCACAGGCTGGGTTCCTTAAACAACAGAAATTTTATTTTCTCACAGTTCTGGAGGCTGACAGTCCAACATCAAGGTGTCAATAGGTGCGGTTTCTACTGAGGCCACACTCCTTGGCTTGCTGATGGCTCCCTTCTTGCAGTGTCTGTCCACACATGGCCTTTTCTCTCTGTGTGCACATCCCTGGTGTGTGTGTGTGTGTCTCTCTCTCTCAAAAAGTTACCTGTTATATTGAATGAGAACCCCACCCAGTGGCCTCAGTTTAATGTAATCACTTCTTTGAAGGCCCTATCGTCAAATACATCATGTGTCCTTTAACAACGGGGATACATTCTGAGAAGGCAATGTTAGGTGATTTCGTCATTGTGTGAACATCACAGATTGTACTTAAAATTAGATGGGATAGCCTCCTACAAACCTAGGCCATGTGGTATAACCATCATAACCTTATGGGACCACAGTCGTATATGCGATTCATCATTGACTGAAATGTCCTTAAGCAGTGCATGACCGTACTGTCACATAGATTAGGGCTCACTGATATGACCTCATTTAACATTAATTACCCCTTTAAAGGCCCTAACTCCAAATACGGTTACATTCTGAGGTACTGGGAGTTAAGACTTTAACACATGAATTGGGGAGGGGGGGAGACATAATTCAGCCAATAATAGAGTATATGGGTGAAATGTGGCACATGCACACCGTGGGTACATGCAGCAAGCAGAAGCACTGGGTTCGATGTACGTATAGCAACTTGGATGGATCCTAAAAACTCAGCGCTGCCTGAGAATACTTTCTTCACTGTTCATACTTGATTTTGGACCTCTAGGTGGACTCATCAGAATTTATGGCACATTATCACCACTGGCCTGCTGAATTCTCTTTCTTCTCTGTCTCTCATTAATTTATATGCCTTAAAAAATAAATCCTCATTCCTTATTCTTCTCCTCCTCCCACTACAGGCAACTACTGTGATGTGTTTAATGTGCAGGTAGATTTTTTTTTTACGTGTTCTTACATAGTGTGCACTATGGGCATAGACTTTCAATTTATAGAAATGGTATTGGGTTTCATGCCTCCTTCTGTTTCTTTTGGATACTGGAAGAACTGGCAAAACTGCAGTATGAAAAATCTTTGCAAAATAAGTGAGAATTGTAGAAATAAAGTTCCAGGAACACAGAATGCCTCAAATACTAATTCACTTGACATTAAATGGAAGGTGTGCATAAGATTTAGCCACGTCAGGTCAAACAAGATCCCAATCATTGTGACTCAGTCAGTCTTGATAACTGCAGTTTGCCAAGTCATGGTGATTAGGATAAGTGGTAGCTGTTACTTAATCACACACAGAGAGTTAGAATTTGGAATAAAGGATAAAAAAAAAAAAAAGATTTTCCTTTTCTTTGCTCTGAGACAAACCTTATTTTAATCTTGTCTTCTGACCTTAGGTTCCAATGAGCTCTGATGTATCTACCTGAGGGAACAATTCACTTAACAAAATCACACAAGTAATAAAAGAATGTTTCTTATCAAATAATTCAGACAATACAGATGTGTACACTATAAAAAGCAAAAGTCATTGTTATCTGTTTGGTAGGAAGCATTCCTTCCAGATGTTTTTCTGTGGCAACGCATTTAAAAAATAGACTTCCTGGGCCGGCCCGGTGGCGCATTCGGTAGAGTGCGGCGCTTAGGAGCGCAGCGGCGCTCCCGCCGAGGGTTCGGATCCCATATAGAGACCGGTCCGCTCATTGGTTGAGCATGGTGCAGACGTGACACCGAGGGTTGCGATCCTGTTACCGGTCACGAAAAAAGACAAAAAGGAAAAAAAAAATAGACTTCCTCCCACCCTTTCTTCTCTACAACTTCCATTTCATTGGTCTGGTGAAATAATGCTTGCAAAATAATTAAAAAACTGGATAGTAATATTATTCTCATAATTGCAAGAGCCCCTTAATGCCTGCGGGACACTACATTTGGAGAGAAAATAATTATGCCTCTTCCCATGGCACATATGAGATGCAGCTGTTACAGCACCAGCTGTGAACTTGCAGTAGGGCAGCCCCTGCTATCTAAAATATTTGGTCCTCCTAACAATTCAAGGAAGCACATAGTATTATTATCTTCCTCAGAGTCTCAGGAAACTG